AGACATCACACTAACGGCACTTGATGCGCATAGAACTTAGTTTCCGCAAAATCGCTGGGTTCGCATGACATCTTTGCCGTTTGTATTTACATTTAACAGAGGTATTCTCTTCTACTGATCATTTTTGACTTGCTATGAACTTACACTGAAGGAACTAGGTTCAAAATTGCCCAAATTCTGATGCTCGTTGTACGGCCTTACATCCATTGTTTTCCTTTAAAAGGTTCGTTTTTAAATCACAGGAGATTTAACTCTAGTTCCGACACATACCCATGTTAAGGAAGTGTTCTGTGGCCTATTAGTTCTTGACATTGCAGTTAGATTTCGGTACTGCATGGTTGTAAGTGTTCCCTCCTATTACAAATGGCTTTGTGTTAAATTCTAATGAAGGTCAGAGGTAGTGTAAGAGTTAGGGTTAGGATCAGGGTTGAGTTTATGAGGGTTAGTTTTAGGGTTTGCGTCAGGGTCAAAGTGAGGGCACAGGAATAGGTACCCTCATGGAAGTTGGCGCAATGGCACCTGTAGTAAAGGAGTCCTTATTCTTGTGTCCAACGCGACAATCAGCCATTATTGAAGCCTCCTGCTCTAATTTGGCTTCGCCAATCTTCATTCATTTTTGCTGTTTTTGAATACTTCTAAATCCTAGGAAGCCGCAAACAAGCGTTTAGATGAAATGAAGTCTGCCGGCTTGCTTAAATGTGCGGCAGATACCGAAGAGGGCTTTTTGGCCAAAAAGAAGGCCCTGCTGCAGGCTGCCAAATTGCCGCCCCCGGAGACAGACTCAGCCCTTTTGGTGGAGCAATTCCTCATCGAGCGTCTCCTTCTGCGAACCCGAGCTGAACACGAGGCCGTTTGCTTGGCTAATGAAAGGCAGACCGAACTACTTCGGGTAAAGGCAGAAGTGGCTCAGCTGTCAAAAATGGTCAGTTATTTGACAGTTTTTAGAAATTTACGGTTTCTCTTTCTGATTATTTGTTCGGTACATCCGCATACGATTTACTCGTCTAGAAGGGCATCAGGCATCAAAATGAAAGTTCCCAGTCAAACGCCGATGCGTTTGTCGTCCTGCCACTGACTGCAAGCGGCGGGGACGAAGTTGGTGTCTTTGCGACTGCTAACGAGCATTCTCTCCAGCGGTCATCAGTGTGCATGGGCTCTCAGGCACCAATCGGTTCCTTTGAAAATGTAAGCGTTTCTTCTTACCCCAGAACTTTTACTGCATTCGCAGTCGCCATTTATTTACAAGCTACTCCCTATGCCGTCGTTTTTTGCGTTTTCAATTGGCATAATACGTGGTAGCACGTACTTTTAGTGCAAAGAGAGGTCGTTACATCGTAGATTCATTTGTGGTATTGTTTAACAGAAACGCAACCTGTACGAGATTGCGCTAAATTCTACATTGCACTGCGTCATTCTAAAAGTTTATAATCTAGCTTAAGCATCGAAGTCAGGCTTGATCGACCAACTTCTACCCGCAAAATTTAGAACAACGCTACTCACGACTGACAGAGCACTAGCCCAAGGCTTCGACTTCCAACACTGTAATTAAACGCAACCAGTGAGTGGGGTTCAAGTCAGAATTCGACAAGAGTATGGTTTACGGTCGGGGTTGCTTCCTTCGAGGAGCATTTGTGTTGAACAAAAAATCTGAACATCTAAGAACTTTGTGGTGTCGCAAATTTCGATTCTTCATACTGTCACCAATTCAAAGGGGACGCTATTTTTGCCATTTCATGATTATAGTGAATAAATTTAATGCCCCTTTGCAGTCATTATCAAAAAAAGGTATTGCATTGTCGTATTTTTGTTCCGATGACTACCTTAGAGCATCTTAACCAACCTCATGCAACAGCCACTGTGAGGTCTCTTTAGTTTTTTCTCTGGAACGTACAAATAAGTATGGCCAATTATTTTGTTTTGCCACTTTTTCTCCCCGGGGTAAGTAACGTCGGCCATAAACCACACTCCCGCCCAAAAGTCATTTTGGCCGATGATCTGGCTATTGCTGGTTTGCAACACTATTCCAGTCTGCTTATCGTCGTAGGCAGACCTTGCCTCATATCAGAAAGCTCAGTGAAGGGAGTATCGACAAGGACAATGGAAACTGGTACTTTTCGCTCTGAATGTGTTATTGGTTCCTGTATGACTGCCTAAAGGGGCTCTAGACTGAGCTTCCAGGCATAAAGGGATGAAAACGTACCGTAGACTATAGTAATGAAAATGCGATTCCCGGATGGCATATCAAAAGAAGAGGAGGCATTCACCGGGAAAGGTGTATTTGAGGTCTGACGTTTCGGGTAGTCGTTTCTTCTACCCATCTTCAGAGACTGAGCAGTCGTGCACATAGCTTTCCTTTTATGGCGCACTTTTTTACTGCCTGGTCCACCAATGCCGCCTGTGTGGCTGCATCCGACCTGCATGTCACCGTGACCTGAATCCCGCCCATCTTCGTCGGCCGCGGTGATAACTGGCAGCCCCGATTGCCCCGCGCCGTGACTGTCCCCCATCAAGTATGTCCGTAAAATTAGATAAGGGGGGAGGTAAATTGATGTGGCGGTTGACAGAACAGTCGGTAGACATCCAGGCTTCTTGCACCTGTCTTGCCATATGATCATCACCTCGGCCCACAATTTCAACGGCGTCAAAGTTGAAGAGGTGTCCCGTTTGGGCGGCATGGGTTGCTACCTCCGACTTTGGGTCCAACCTTCGCACGGCCAACTCATGCTCGTGCATGCGTGTTTGCAGCCGTCGGCCGGTGTCCCCAACGTAGTTACACATTCCGCAGCTGCACTGAAGTCGGTAGACAACAGCCGACATCTCCTGTTTAGGGATCGGGTCT